TCAAAGGAACAATTCCCAAACACCTCATGGGAAAAATCATGACAGCACTTGTTAAGACTATTGATTAAGTAAGAAAGCTATATCCTTGCTAGATTTACAAACAGTATGAGAAAGTACACAATTTCCAGCAAAGGGAAGGTGAGAAAAAAACTACTTGGGAGCACAGACTTTTCCCTTGTCTAAAAAGGTAACAATGTTATATAGCAAAGAGTGAGAAATAAGTACATATGAGAGTATCAATAAATTAGAGAACAGAAAATAAGTGTAAAAGATATCAAAGTAGCTTTTATTCACTTAATTTTTTCTTTCAACTTATAAATGCTATCCCAAATTCTAAAGAAAATGGACTTGAGTGAACTTTTTTTTTATTATGAAGATACAGTTCGAAGAACAGAAAGATAATTATAAGCTAGCTTATTGTTCCTTGTAAAAATAATATATGCAAAATTAGTAGAAATTGAAAATCTGAAAATGTTAAGCATCTTCCATATCTTAGTTTTGATCATTTTTGCAGAATAATCAAATAATACTTGAATGAAGAAAGTATCTAATTATTCTATTTTTATTACTAATGCAGTATGCCCCTCAGAGCTTGGCATAGTCTTTAAGAATCATCTGGAGTTTCTGGCTCAGCATGATGTTCCCTCTGGCCTTCAGTCGGCCACTAAAGAATGCCTTCTGAGGGTCAAGCTTGCCCAGAACTACCTGCATGAAATCATCATCTGAAATTATGATAGTCGTATCAGCACAGCCTTTTGCAGGGCCTTTGTATACTTTTCCAGATTCATTTTTCAGGTCAATTGTCCACTTAGCTGCAATGTCTCCACCTTTAGTGATATGCCACTCAAACACAGCTTTTACTTTCTTTACCACCTCACGCCCAACTTCCTTAAGGCGCCGACCTATTTCCTCAAACACAAGAGTACTTTGAAGCTCGCCACCCTCAGAGGGTATCTTAGCTGAAATATCTAATTTGGGCACAAGATCCACATATGCATTTGAAATGACAATGTCTCCAGTTTCTTGGACCTTAGTTTGAAAATGAATCCTGTTTCCTTCCTTCCACATTTCAGTTTGTAGAGTTTGTCCCGGATATACTGGTTTTGCAAAACGAGTCTTAATTGCCTTGAACCTTGAGACATCATTATCCGCAAACTGCTGTAAAACATGCCTGGCAGAAAATCCAAAGGTACATAATCCGTGTAATATGGGCTTCTCAAAGCCTGCAAGGCTAGCAAAGTTAGGGTCAATGTGTAAGGGATTCCAGTCTCCACTGAGGCGGTACAAAGCAGCCTGATTAAGTGAGGTGGTATCTCTAAGTACAGCATCCGGAGATCTACTAGGTACGTCGAGAGCTACCTTGAGTTTTTCTGATGTCCGTTTTCCTCCAAAGCCTCCAGAGCCAACCAGAAAGAGAGAGAACTGATTATAGTATATAAGTTCCTTCCCAGAATAAGAATAGACATCCATAAGAATTACTGCGCCAGATCCTTTATCTAGGACATCAGCAACAACTGCTTCACATTTTAATTTTCCTGATCTAGGAAGAGGTTTATATAACTCCAAGTATTGCTCCCCGTGAAGAACCTGTGCAAAGTTGATTGAAAGCCCAGGAATATCTGCTAATCCTCCACCCATCATAGATTTCTGAGCTATGATAACTCCAAAGGTAGGCAAACAGGAGAAATAAGAACTTCCTTCATAAACAAATTTCAAATCCTTTGGATCTTTGACAGATGCTCCCACTCCAAGAGCATACATAATTGTTTCCATTTCCATGTAAGCAGAAGAAAATGAAGGGAGTTTATAGCCAATAGCTCCAGCAAATCCTGAAGTAGCTGTAGATGTTGCATGACTGGTATGATTTATTGAAACTCCTCCTTCTGCATCTATTTTATGTAAAACTTCAATCATACCTGCAACTGATTCT